AGCACCACTTGTACTCCTTCGTAGCTGTACACGCATTTAGAACTTGTATAGTACCGATTCTTAAAGTTGACTATAGTGTGTTTGGAATCACAATCAAACGAATGCGTACACCTTGTGCTATTTTCATTCCCACCAGCAGTGTACAGAGCGTTATACTTTACCCCGCGTTTGCTGAAAAAAATACCCCGACGAGCGATAGAATGGCCGAAGGATCGCAGAATGTAACGCGAGGTGTCGTATAGGCCGAGTGTTTTTAGTGCACATCCGAGCTCCCCTTGCCTCCCTCGTTGAGAATTGCCCTCCAGAGGCACGCGCCCGTCGGGAGAACAATGATAAAAGGCTCCTCCTGTCCATACATGCACGGAAATGAATTGCGTTGAGGGAACGGGGGATGAAAAAAAAGACATATAGAGCCTGTCTCGCGATGACGGAAAATTTTTTATTTCAGTTTTTACTGCTCGGCAAAGTGGTCGCTTTCGAGATTAAACCTCGGAAATTGTACGATCAAGCGGAGCGAGTTTTTTTTTTTTTTTTTGGGGGGGGGGGGCTAAAGTTTTTCAAAGCTCACATATAGTTGCGCGTCGAGATTCAGCGCGTTTATACGGGGAGCCTCGAAGCGTCCGTAAGATTCGAGGTCAAGGCAGACCAGAGAATTCTTTCGAAGGTGACTTTTCCGGAGCGAATGTACATACGTATGACCTTGAAACGGATTTTGGTCAACCGATCGCTTTGAACCCCAAACGCGATGCCTGATGCAACGCAATTCAGTAACAATCAATGGGGATCCGAAGAACGACTCTACATGACCAATCCGAGCGCACCAATCAAGCGAAATTGACAAATGTTTGCCCTCATCAGGCCATAGTATGGGGTGGATACACGTGGGTGCACGCTCGGCCGACCACAGGCCCAGCAATTAATTTCGCTTCCGCTGCTGATGCGGTGGCACTTCCAAGGATGGACACGAGGGAGAGATAACCGACGATGTATATATACAGCAGTGGTAAAACAATCTTTTAAATCCGTTGGGGGGGGGGGGGTTGGGCTGTTGCGTCGATTATTCAGATAGGCACGTCTGACCATTTCGGGCTTTTACTACTGAAACAACTGGCGGGTCGAGGCGGAGCTCCTCTTACTTTGAGCTGTACCCAAAACATGGAACGGAAAGCGCCTTAGAACGAAAGTTTAAAGCCCGTTATCAGCGCTGGTCACCCCGTTAATGGCACCGTGAGACTGCACCGATGGTTGTAGTACCGTACAGCCGCGAAGAAATAGAGGTAGACACAGGAAAGTTGGCCTCTCGTGTGATTGCGATGTAAGCGTATATACCACAGTATACAAAAGTCGGTAGATTGCGGCGAGGGGGGGGGGGGGGTACAAACGATGCCTTCAGTCTTGGAAAAAAATAAACGAGTGGCTGAGACACGCTTTTGTTTGCAAGGGCTTGGGACCACTGAAATGTTCTTCGAAGTAAAGTTGTTATGATAACCGAGTCTTTGGTTCATTCAGTATGATTGTTCAATACAATGAAAGAAGAAAAAATTATCAAAGACCTTGATCGGATGAAAGTTACTCGAGTTGATTACCCACGATAATTTATTTAACGACCACAGGACCACTCCCACTTTGGGATTAAAATTTTTTACACACCATAAAGAGAGTATTAGACTTTCCCTCTGATAAAAACACTTAATTCTATTAAAGCGTACCCTACGAAACAGGATAGGGTCCGAAGAACCCGTAAAAGATCCCACGGTATTAAATTTTTAACCGTAAGTCTATGAAATGTAATTTTTCAGGCAACACGCAGCCACGGTCTCGGCACGCACGACGGGCAGGGGGTGCGCCCTTAAAAATTTCATCCCCGCGAGGAAACGAAGGTACAATCTTGTATATGCAAAGGCAGAGACATCCCGGAATATACTTGCATGCAAACGGCGATTAGAGTTTGGAGAAGTTTACTGTTTCATCGTCCGAGAGGTACGGAACTGCCGCTCCAAGTGAGACAAACGAAGGATTGAGTCCCTGAATTCTCCTGGAAAATAATCTCGAGATGAAAAGTTCAGCGGAGGGGGAGGGCGCGTACTTGAAAGATTCGCTGCGACTCTCTTGGAAAAGTAACGACACCCAGACGGAGGGGAAGATCTTGGGGGTTGGTGGGTGATTATTTTTCGTCGTCCGCTCGGCTCGGCTGGGCTATTTATCCGTGTAATCGAGTGCGCACTTTTTTTTGTTTTGTTTTCTACCCCTCCTCCGTACTGCGTGTCTCTATAGTGTCTGTGTACCCACTCGAGGGAAGCCCCAACCAGAAGGTATTAGTATCCTGTGGCTTTTCCCTGTACTTCTTTTTCTTCATCTTTTCCCTTTGAATTTGCTCGGTGGAATTCTCAGTGCACGTATCGTAGCAACATCGTATCGTGTTTTAAGGTTTCACTTGAAAATTTTCCTCGAGCATGAATTTTCGTACATTCAAAACAAATAGATGATTGAACCACGAAACGTGTATCTCCGACCCAATAACCCTTTTACTCCTGGAGCCACAGCAGCCGACACGTGGTAACTCAAGACGATATGTGAAAGCCCAAACAACTTCTAATTCTCACTTTGCTCACGGCAACAAATAAAAAAAAAAAAAAAAAAAAAATTATTTCACGCAAGCAGGGGCGAGATCGCGTTGATAGATAGTGCCGCTACCCACACACGTCCACTTACCTCCCCCAACCCTCAATGGGTAAAAAAGCACAATAAACTGCGTACGTCTCGTCTTTCTCACCCTTTTCACACCGTACACCTTTTCTCTCCCCTCCCCCTCTTCGTTTTATCGCATGATCGATTTTTGTTTTCCTTTCACTCGCGTTTCTCTACCTCCGTAGCCGATCTTTTCGCGGACTCACTCGCCATTGTTGTTGTAACATACCGCGAGCGTATAGAGAAAAAAGTTGAAGGTCGAGGCTCGTGCGGCCCGAAGGTCGTAGACCTCGTTAGGCTCGGCTGTATATATACCCATGCAGAAACGGAGAACAAAGTCGCCGTCTTAGCGCGCCAGTAGAACAAGTCGGCGTTAGGTCAGACCAGCGCGAGAAATACATGGGCGAAACGGGTGTGAGGCGCGTCGTTGTCGAGGCGAAGGGTACCAATAGGTGACATGTATTTTGCGAGTGGGACGTGTATTAGTCGGAAAGAGCGTAGGTTGCGTAAGTATACGTGTTCCAAAATAGGAGAAAAAAAAAAAATAAAAGAAAAATCAACTCTCCCGATACGAACGCCAAGGCACAGGTATGTCGACCACAGGCAAGCCGACCTATACAAAAGTCGCCGAGGCGCCGCGTACCTATACATACGGAGAATACATAAAATACGAGGAGCCCACCAGTATAACGAGGCAGTGTCTTATACAGCTCCTCGCATCCGCTCCTTGGCGCGGTTCCTGTGGGTCGCACGTACTTTGTTTCTTTCTCCCCTTTCCCGTTAGTTCCTATAGGTAGCGCAATCGCGTGCCTCTGCCAAAATTGACCAATGTCACCTTCCTTCCTTCCTGCTCCTCTGCGCTCTTCGCCCAAAGTGCCTCTACGCCGAGTGAAAACACGCACCACGCCGATACGTGCTCTTGATTATGCAAATGAGCTTACATTCGGTGCCAGCGAGGATGCAATGTACGTAAGTACCTCGAGCTTTGGAGTTTGAGAGAGAGACGAGAGAGATATGTACTGATCAATTTTTATTTGGTCACTTTTTCGTCACAGTTCAACGAGTAAGTTGAACACAAGCACCATAGGTATACCTTTACTGAATAAAATCGCACTTTTTCCACTCGTCCGACCAGTATTGCACTCGCATTCTGACCTCACGATTCAATAGTTTTTGCGTATGTGTGTTATATTTGAATAAAAGGCCAGAAAAAAAGATGACCGTATCCAAACGCAATTTCCCTCCCCCAATACGTGTTACAAACGCTCAGCCGATTCCGTCGTAAACCCCGAGTAAATACGTCCCCGTAGCTGTCCAAACACTTACTTCGCGTCACTAAGTTACAGCCCAAAACAAACCCTAATCCACGCTGATGGGAAAAATGATCCCAGTGTGTACACACACACACTTTCGAGGGGCGGGGGGAGCAGATCGTAACACCATAATCGTACAACGGGGATAACCTATAGCGCGGTGCCATCCGTCTTTCTCGTGTACACACTTACTGCCCAGCTCTCGCTCATAATTTTCCCCCTTTCCCATTCAAAAACTCTCTCGTCTCGGTATCTCTGTTCCTCGTTAGCCAAACTCGTCCATGTACAATATGAAGGATCGCCCGTCTGCCCACCCATGACCGTATATGCGTGTATACTCCGACACCCCCGAGGTGAGACTCGTTCTTGTAATCACCATCATTTTAGTCCTTTTGAGGAAAAAGAGTATTATTAATTGCCTTATTCTCGCTCGATACTCCACTTTGCCTCTCAAGTATACATACATATAATTTGTTCTCCTATCAGCCAGCGGATCTCTCGTCATTTCAAGGTAGACAAGGATGCAAAGTAGGCAAATTCTATGTGTGTACGTACATGTGCCGCTGTACCTATACAGTACACCCTCCGTGTCATATCGTATCAAGGTGAACGCTATACAACGCGGTGGCTTTTGCTCGGCGATCTGATAAGTCCGATCGCTCGATCGTTTGACGTCGCCGCGCAAGAAAGGCCGCTTGAATCACCCGGTCGTTTCCCCCCCCCCTTTCTAATTATCATCCCTACCTACCTGCTTGCGCTTGATCGACGATACCGAGGGTATACTCCTTTTTATTGCTCTGTCGGGGTATTTTTTTTTGTTTTTTTTTTGTATCCCGTTCCACTCGATCGCTCTCGCAACTCATTTGTCTCCCTAGTAACTTTCGCACCCCCCCTGGCAACACCTACTTCTTTCCACGTCAGCATCAGCGGCAAAGACAGTGTATATGTATATAAATACGGAAACAATGAGAGTAAGGTTTGGGTGTTAACTATACTCACGATTTTATGGTGCAAATGCTGGAGCTCGCGTTCGGTGACTCGCCGCCTGGAGAGCTCGCGCTGCTCGCGCCTGTACTGGCTGTACTTGTAGAACAGGTACATGCCGGGCAGGGCGAGGACGACGAGGGGCTTCATGAGGCCGGCGCGGGCGTTGGAGCCGCGGTTGGCGCGTGGCTCGGGTGGCTCGTCCAGCTCCTCCGGCGCGGCGAGAGCTGCCGCTACCGTTGGCTCGGCACCGCCCGTGGCCGCTGGCATCTCGCTCTTTGTCTGGAACCACGAGGGGAGCTGCAGTGTGAAATTGGTTTTTTTTTTTTTTTTTTTTTTAACGAAATAAAGTAAAGGTTCGAGGAGCTGCGAGAGGGGGAAAAGGGTTTTTTCCGCGCCCGGCAATGGCACTGTCGAGAATATACGCGGTACAATAGTCGGGAGGACTGTACGACATCCTACGGAGACGCTCCTTTTTTCTTGCCTCCTCGGGGCACGGGTATCGAAAATCGATTACCCTCCGGTGTCATTTCGAGGCTCTCGTTGCGCTACTCGACCTCCGAAGGAGTGCCTGAAAAATCTGCAAATCGTTTGGAACTCCCTGTGAGATTTCAGGACTAAACGACTTTTTACCCGACGCTCGCAGTTTCTTAAAAAAGACCTTGAGATTTCCATTGTTAATTTTTTTTTTCCCCCCAAAGTTCTAATTTCGTTTTGATTGCAAAACATGATTGGCAAAGTTCAAAAAGATACTTTCTTCCTTCGCGGCCCCGACGGACACTGACAATACACGCGCGTGCACTGCCACTCTCGCTCGGAAATATTCCAATTAACTTTACATAATACCTCCACTCGCTTACGCGTGTGTTTGTACGTACGTGTATATATAAATATTATATACTCGTTCCCTCGATGGAGAGGGGCAGAGCTCGTGCGCTTTTCCCTGATAATAATTCCGGAATTCGCTGTCAGCTACCCTTTTAAGGGCTACACTGTCTCTGTTTAACGCGCGGGTGTGTCTGTCTCTCGAATTAAATTCCCGGTGTCGTTGCAGCCGTGGTGCAATTTTGTTTTGTCAGTAGCAATTTCAGCAGAGGAGAGCGCAGTTGCGAAATCTCGTAATTTTTTTTTTTTTTTTATTAGTCCAACCTTTCGTGTACGTACTGTAGAGATCAACGTCATTTGGCGTGTTTGACCAGACGCTATTTCGTATACGGAAGATCCACGAAATCCTCTTTCCGTCATTTCAGATGAAATGTGGTATCCAGCACAATCGGATCCTATACCTACGCGCGCTTGCCGATGTCACGATTTTTTTTCCATACGTATAATACACGAATTTTCGATAAAGATGTTAATATGTGCCCGAAACGTTTACCGTGAAGCTCCGCGCGCACAATCGGCCAATAAATTCCGCTCGCTTGATTCGGTGACGTCAATGTCAGAAGGTAACGACTCGTGCAAAGATCAACGTGACATCGATAAAACCCTCGCTTTTCGCCACTGCTACACCCTCTTCCGCTCGATTTTACACTCTGGCTGTACCAGAAGAAAAAAAATTTTAATAATAATAATAACGTTGCACGCGGTGCCAGCGGAGGCAACTAAGATGACGCGTTTTTCATACGGGTACTCGATGCGTGGATATTAAAAAAAGTTTCAGAATAATACCGACGTTTATCTTTCATCCAAACGCATAAAAAAAAATATTTCTCATATCTGTAAAAATACCTCGAGTCGAGTCGTAAATTTCGTATCACCCCTCTACCTTCCCACCCCATATTTATACAGAAAAACGATTTACGCACACGGTACATTGCTCGTTTACGGCTACAGCGACTATGTACAAGAGCGTCGGAGATATCTCAATTTTCCATCTTTTTTTCTTTCTTTTTTTTTTTTACACCCAAGCAGCCCCATTCAACCCCAACGAGGCCACTCTAGTCAAATTCACCGGTAATCCCTTTAAACTTTGAGTATAACAAAGCACCCGCGCGCAAGTGCAGCACTGTGCACGAGCCACCCTCGTCGGCGGGCTGTAGTTCGTTCACCACGCGCAGGTCGGCGACGCCGTGGCGTTACAAGCCGAGCAAGTTATATTTAGATCAGCCAGGCGTCTAGGCTGCCTATTCTCCCCCGGCTTTTTCTCCGTTGCATAGGTGTGTACAACCGCGGGTTTAGCCTAGGGTCGCTGCACTTGTATACCCATCTCGGGGAGGAGAGTTTTGGGGAGAGGGTAGGTATCCGAGGGGGAATGAAAATTTGACTTTCACCAAACGGGAAAAGAATCGTTAAAATCCCGGAGATGGGTGCCGTGGGGTTTACTCGCACCACGAGTGGCCGATGCGCCGTTGCGCGTTTCACGATGCGGAAGCGCGGGTTTTCAAAGGACAACTTTTCACGATCTCTTTCGCGTGGTTGAACGTTTTTGCCGGTACATCGGTTTTGAGGGTGGAAATAAAACCATCGGCGCTTCGTATACGGAGAGGGATGCTTCGAACAAAAAATGTGACGTTTTTGAAATATTGTTATCTCTCTGCAAACGGAAATACAACGAGGTGACCTCGACATCCGTTGGTGTTTTAACTTTGAGGTCTTTTACTCTATTTGTTTGTTTGTTTTTTTTTTTTTTTAATTCCCTTATCTACGTCTATACGTCTCCGTAATTTAATATGCTAGTGAACGATTGATGTCGCATTGCACGTGTGTCTATTAAAAAAAAAAAAAAAAAAAAAAAAAAAAAAAAAAGAAAGAAAGAAAGAAAGTTGCAAAGTGAAAAGTGAGAGAGAGAATAGCCACTCGCATCGATGAGAATCTCTCTCTCTCTCTCGTCGCATCAAGATCGATGCAGCGCCGACGCGACGCGGACCCTCCTCACCTCCCCGAACCACCCCTAAGGAGAGAGAGAGGAAGCGCAGCTGCAGTTCCCTTTGAGAATCACTGCCGCGTGACGTCATTCGGGCACTGCATGCGCCGCATGACGTCACGGGTGGCCGGTCGATACGACGCCACGCGGGCTTTCAAAGGGTACATTATATACCTACACCTCTACGTGGCACTGTCGTGTTACAATATATACGTGGGGGGGAGGGAGGGATGCGCGAGCCTCGGGCGAAGGCATAGCTGCAGTGACGCGGACTGGACGCTACTGGGATGCTGTTGTTGACACGCGTTGCAAGTACACCCTTGAGGCTTTTTCTCTTTAATTTCTTTTCTTTTTCTTTTTTCCCCTCGTCCAAGGCCCACGAGTGCGGGTAATTTACCGAGATACCGCGATAGGGCACGCGGCTCCATTTAATACAACGACAGCTGGAGAGGGCAGTTGGGAAAAATCGCGATGAGCTCGATGATGACGGTAATTACCCTGCAAACGACGCGCTTATTGTAATGGACGCGAGAGAGCTGGTACGACGATTTATCTCTCTCTCCTTTTGGGCATCTTTTGTAACCATAGCAGCCGTGATTCGTTGATCATGTGTGCTTTTATGCCGCGTGAAATTTAATTATTAACGGATCACCGAAACGAAGGTCTGCTCTGGTCGTGGTTATCATCACTCACGGGCGTAACCGGCACCGCTCAAAAGCTCGAAAAGGCTCTCTCGAGGCGTGCAAAATCACCAAGATCCAAACGCATCTCAGGTGCAAGCGAACCGTGCCGACGGTTGCTTTGAAATTCCCGAGTAGAGAGCTTTCGAGCTCAGGGGAGCGTTACGATGTCACCCGTCCTTACCTAAGGGTGCATCTTTTTTTTCTTTTTTTTTTTCTTTCACGCTCGACGGGCCACGGGATGATTACTCCGATCGAATTAGAGCGAGGTTTGATGAGAGCTTTTGGGGACGGAGCGTGTGACGCTTGACGGGGAATTCAAGAGCAAGACGCTTAACTATTCATCGCGCGGGAACTAAATTTTTGACGGGCGCGAGTGTAAATAGGGATTTTTTTTCAACTCGCAGGCCCAAGCGTAACCGAGAGGGATGTAATCCGGTGTACGTATAGCGTGTGTTGGTTTTTAATTTTGGCTCGCGTTTTCAAAAGAAATTGGATTGACGAGCCAAGGTTGGGGGAATTTATTGGGTTTTCCATCACGGCTTCATGAATTATTTACGAGTTTTCTCCAAGTGGCGCTGTTGGAACAAATGCCCACAAATACATGGGTACATTATAATATGCTCCACTTTTTCTCTCCCTTGATTTTACAGTGGCCTGATTAATGGCTGTTTTTATACACAGGAATTAATTTATATGCATTTTCGTGACTGCTGTTTAAAAAATTTTATCCATCATCAGCAAATTTTTATCCTCAATGCATTCCTCATTTAAATGAATAATAATTTCGTCCACAGCACATCATCATAACTAAAGACAACATTATGATGTTTTGAAAATTTTAAAGAAAAAAGTAGTGAGGCGAAATTGTTTACGAGCGTCTAAAAAAACTCTTTGGCCCTCTGGCCTAAATCACACGGGCAAAAAGCTCAAGAACTAAATGGCACCACGCTATAGGCTGCAGCTTTGCCCTGAGTAACACTCGAGCGATGCCCGAAATGGTTTTTCAATAGACAACCAGCTGAAATATCGCGGGACGAAAGCCTCGCGGGAAATTGCAGGATAAATCTAGCCCCCGGCTCTCACTTGGTTTCTCTCTTTTTTTTTTTTTTTTTTTTCCTCGTAATACTTGCGAGATACACGTTCCTAAGATTCGAGCTTCTCACGACATCTCGTGGAGTCTGGCGTTTTGCGAGAATAGTGGGATCTGCTTTAACGACAGGAAAGCACGCGACAAGTGCTGCCATCGCACCATGTACTGCCTCACAGTGGTGCTTTTGGTGTCGGCTAGTAAGTTAGATATATCGCGAAATACTAAAATTATGAAATTTTTTATTAGATGTATGGTAAAGATTCATGTAATATAACGAAGAAAAAACTTTTTAATGGTTTTTTCTTGAAACATATACTTTTCAGTACGGTTTTAAGGACAATTTAAATTTATTAAAAAAATTAATTACTTCTTTTTTCTCAAAAAGTAAAAATGTATGATGTTTTTGTCCTCAGAGATTTGTAAGTTATTCCGTCTTATACATACGTAGGGATAATAGGGAGTCGAAAGGCATCGTATAAATAAGATGCTTGAATAAAAGATTTCTGATTAACGAGTACCACCGTTTTGTTGAAGCAGAGCAGTTGCAGCGAAGCAAATAAATAATACAGTCACGTAGCTTATTTTTCTTTAAGTTTTGACATTGTCATTGAAATTTAATTAAACCAAAAATGTGCCTGTACAATAATTTAAAACGAGTCACGGTTTTACACGCAAACTGCAGACAGAAGATGAGAAAAATTTCCTACAGATTATTTTAATGTACTTTAAGAAGTTTAACATCGTGAATACAATCTCAAAAAAACTGATTAGCCACGTGATATTGAGAAATGTAATCATGGCCAAAAATAATTAATATAAGGCTACGAATTCTTTTAATCATCGTGTACATGTTGGTTTTCTGAAAAGCTCGTAAATTGTTGTCTACAAAATTATACATGACTAAAATTGTACGAGTATAAAAAAATTAAAGGAGATTCCAATACAAGACCGATATTTGTTGCAAAAAAAATTTATTCACACCGATCAAATATCAGTTTTATCGATTTGGAAATTTAGCGATTTATAAAAAGGAGAAGAGTTTTTTATGATAAACCGAAGTGAGGGAAATAAAAAATAAGTAGGTATTTTTGCCAAGAGATAGATTTAATTATCGACCGATGAAAGAAAAAAGCTTCTTACATAAGGAATTTGCCATGTACCGTCTTCTTTAGACCCTTTTCCCGTGGAAAACCATCGACAGAATATTTACGTAACTCATTACAATGGAAATGAAAATAATCGTTGGCGCGCGAGAAAAGTTTCGATCGGCCATTAAGACCCAAACTTCCCTGAGAAACTCCAAACGCAATCGAGTCCAATTAAGGCACGTATATCTTACCGATCTACCATACACCCGATACTACATGATCGACTAGATCTCCCTCCTCGAAAATAATACATTTTCAATCGGCCAAAAATAATTGCCCATCCAACAACAACGACTCTCTTAACCCGCGAATCGCACAAAGCAGCGCATTACCCGCAAACAGGCGTAAGTAATGCAAGCCCAAAGGGAGGCCAGCTCTCGCGTATATAATTGCGACTCGAAATTACCGATGCCGATCGCGCGAGGCTTCCACACGTAAGTCCGGCGCTCGCCCATTGGTCCCACGATAAGCCCGATGTCTTACGCAATAAATGCATGTATACGCACACGCGTGTATACCTACACGTCCATCCGAGAGAGGCTGCATGGGAAAAAAGACAAGCGCCCGTCCAGCAACAACAAAACGAAGAAATTTCCACGGTTGCATCAATAACGACGCAAAGTTGCATCCATCCCCAGGTATATGTATTATATACACCGTCTGCAATGCTGTAACGTGATTTTTCCTTCGTCTTCAGGACGAGGTTGTTACGTTATGTGTGTGCACGTTTGTGGTAACAGGTATACTTATATATAGCTCCAAAGTCTTTCTCTCGTGACAAAGTCATCGTCGTATACAATCGACTCATCCCGTGTTATGTATACATACATACGTATACTTAAGACGTATCCTACATAGCTATAAGGCATGGCCGATGCATCAACGCGCATCGAACGAGTGAAAGCACCACCATCCGCAGGTCCGAGAGAGTCTCGTAACCCGCGTCGCGCGGCTTTTATGAAACTTGTATACCCATTACGGGTGTACACAACCGAGCGCATCCTACGCTGTGTTACGCGAGTCTATACCTATACACCCACGTATCAATGTATATTTATATATGTATGGAATTACGACCGAGAGGACGTATACTTGCGTCCAAGAGCAACTGCGCTACGCGACCGTAGGGAGAAAAAAAAAAAAATGCCCGCAAAGACTTTCTCTCGTACAAATTGTACGCGCGACCATCATTGTCTTGTATATATATGTGCGTGAAACGTATTACGCGCAGTCACGGGTCGTCTCTGGTGCTTTTGTTTCGCGTAGGGCTCTAATTTTAGAGCGAGACATCGCAGCTGCAGCTGCGTGCGCAGACCGTGGGATGGCTCGAGGCTTCTTGTTCGACTGCCGCGGAAGACTGAATCTTTTTTTTTTTTTTTTTTTTTTTTTTTTTTTTTTTTTTTTAATTCCCTTATCTACGTCTATACGTCTCCGTAATTTAATATGCTAGTGAACGATTGATGTCGCATTGCACGTGTGTCTATTATCGCAGTTATACGGGGGTGTTGGTGGGTGGATGATAAAAATAGTCGATTTGGCCGTTGACGCTTTCTGTGTGTATGTTTTTCCCCCACTTGTACAAGTTGCACTTGAACCGCTCGTCGCACGACCTGAATGGGGCTTGTGTACGTCGACGTTTATTTTTAGCCTCGTATGAGTCATTGTCAAAGCTCGAAAGGCAAACCGCATTTCATTTAATCGCGACTGCTACGAGATCGCGAGAAATAATTTACAATTGTACCTATACTCGTTGAATATTTACCGTGATTTTATATGCTTGATGGAAGTTGACGGGCACGCGATGATTGTTTTTTTTTTTTTTTTACATACGGACGCTGTCGTTGAACTGTTTGTTGTTTCTATATTTTGACGGAAGCCTACTCGACTGTATAACCATCGCAATTATTACAAATAAACCCCATACTAGTATTTAACACCGACGACGAGAGCTACAAAAAATCAGCCGAGTCGCGTGGGCTATGTAAGTATATTGTGTACACGTTATACACGCATCCGACGGACTGTCAGGCCGAGCGTCGATTAATCAGATTACGTCGTGCTCTGAGCGCCCGCATCGCCTTGACACATCGCAGCCGGGCCATGTCGAGGCCGTTGTTCTTTTGATATGCACATTTACACACACACACACACACACTAGTACAGCACGCGGGTATGCGTATATTATATACATACACAGTTTCAGCTGTACACGTGTGCATAAGTATATGTGCTTCCTCCTTTTGGAAATTTGACGTTTTTTCGATCCGACGGCCCTTTCTGGGTTGCCTTTGAAAGTCCAATTCAAAGAATCGCTTCGCAAGGGCTCGATCGTCGCGCAGTAAAAGTGTCGGTGGCGGGCCATAAAGCCATTCCGTTGTAAAGCCATGCTTTTGTATTGTAATTAAGCGCTGATATAGCTAGGAAAATCCACCGTATCCATATTACTTCCGAATGAACCACCCGGACGGTCCGTCGCGTGCGATTATACCATAGGCGCAAAGAGGAAATCATCGTTTCTATAAGTTAAAAAGCCAAAACTCGTATTTTGCCGTGTGATGTAAGACCGGATGGATGGAATTTTTTTTTTTTTTTCTTTTTTTTTTCGCTCGTGCCCTGTGACGGCGCCTGACGTCTTTCCGTGCTCGGGAGGTATTATTGGAGTTATTTGAGCACCGGAATATTGAATAGTAATGATCGCCGAAGGTGGGCTTGGTGGTGAGTTTCGAAACAGACTTCGATGGAGGGGGAAAGAAAAAAAAAATCGATCGAGTGTTCCGTACGTACAGTCGAGATTTCGACTCGTGAAAGTGAGCATTGGGGCGGGATCGATCGGTCGCCCTTTAATTGCCGAAACAGGTTGGCTCGTTTATAATATACACACCGATGAAAGTTTTCTCTCTTCCCCGGCTGTGAAAGGTATACATATATGAAGTTTTAAACTACTTTTTTTCGGCATCCCCGAATAATTTTTTTGATTGAAAACTTCGAACCGAACACACGCTATGCCCTGCCGATCTCGTGCGCGCTTTGCCATTTTTAATTACCAGCCGTACGTATAAAACGTTTTTGATTTGTCCGAAACGAGCACTACAGTGGATCCATCCATCGTTTGGGAAAAAAAAAACCGGTTTACCGATTTCTAGAGACGAAATCGCGTAGTCGTGCAATAACTCACCGCAGCGCCCAACCAATAAGCCTTGATACCTAATTACTCGGCCACAAAGTTTCCGATCGCATTAGCATTATCGACGATTGCCGTGCATTATATTAACCGAGGGGGGGAGGTGTATGCCTAACAACTCCTAGGCACGAGGCTCGCGCCCCTGACTGGTGGTAATAATCGCGCTCCCAGGCCGCCTCGTGCAGAGAACTTGTACGTAATGATCGAGAGGTATCAGGGCTAGCGTGTATACAGTGTAGTACGCGATCGTTAAAGGGACTTGTGTCTCTGTCGAAACTCGTTGGAAATCACGAAATTCGTAGAAAAATTCAACATTTGCTGGATTACAGGTGCACCAATCATGGTACGAATAAGCAACGCTTGACCCATCATAGTTATGACACAATAAGTTGATAATGCCTCTTATCGTTTTCTATTTTTTCCTTCGTGACACGCGCGCGAGCGAGGACTAAACGATCCACGCGTACTAGCCCCCCACGGACGATGAGATTGAAAGAAAAAAACTAATTCATCATCTCGGAGTAAGCAAATGCAGGCATTGCGATGAAAGGAAGAAAAAAAACAGAGGGGAAAAAAACTCACAGTGCAGTCCGCGGGGCGAGAAGAGCGATGCAGCCTCTCTCTGTGTTGGCGTCACGGGAGCGGAGAAGCTACATCAACCCGCGAGGGTTGTACCTCAAGGCGCAGTCGAAGAGGACCGAGGAGGCGCCTCTAGAGCGGTCCTCCGAGTCGGTGCATCACCGCACGCGCGCCAAAGAGAGCAGATGCAGCGGGAGGAAGGAGAGGGTACGGGAGCACCGCGGGGTGGCGCTGAGCAGTGGTCGTCCCGACTGCGGCTGCTGCGACTTTCTCTCTCTCTCTCTCTCTCTCTACTAAGCTTTCCCTTCCTCTTCCGTTCGACGAAACAAATTTCCTCCTCCTCCTCCTGTTACGCGGTACTACGAGCCAAGGGTTGTCGTCTCGAAAGGTGATACGGTCGGCGTGTGCTCGCGAACAACTCCGAGGCGAATACGCGAGCAAAGGCGCTCGTGCCGGCTTTGTGGCCGGGCAGCCACTGCGAGCACGAGAACACACGACGGAGATCGTCAGCCGGTGCGCGCAACCCTCCACCCCCAGGAGAGAGAGAGGGTGCAGGCAGGCCTCCCTTCCTACTTCCGTGACTGTGGTCGTCCTGCTCTTTTGGCACGGTAGCACCCACCTCCGTCTCACTCTGGGATGGGTACAACACACCTATATACCGCCATCAGCCGAGCGAGGATCGATAAACGTGCCAGGAGGAGACGAAGTGGGGGCTCGCCCGCCTGCTCTAGGGGGGGTGCAAGTCGTGTGCGCGCGAGGTGAGCTGCTGCCGTAGGTGTATAATATGTATACATGGAGTTCGAGTTTTTCGGGAGTACTCAGAGTGAAAGGGTTTGTCCCTTTTTTTTTTTTTTTTTTTTACTATTTTTATTGTGGGTAGAAACAGAATAAAGTAGAGTTGTTCAGTCATTTTTCAATAGTGCAGTTTTATTTCCTCGTACGTCCACATGTATATTCGAGCTTTTTTTTTTTTTTTTTTTGGTACCTTTTCCTCGTCCGAAACTTGGAGGATCAAGCCAGAGGTGGTGGGATTAATTCACGGCGTGGTACGCCAGGAGGGATATTTTGGACGATGATGGGGTACGGGTCGCCGGTGAAATTGAAATTGACAAAGCTGATGAAAAATTGAAACACACTGGTTGGTCCCATGATGGATCGAGCAACGGGGGAGGGGAGGGGGCGATAAATCCCGCCGAGCCGAGTAAACAATCGCCGGCAACCCTCGGAGGAAAAAGAAGGGCAACCGTAAGTTTTTTTTTTTTTTTTTGTTTGTTTCGACTTCATGAAACAGACATTTGGGCTCGTACACGCGCACGTATGTCTTAACTGAAATATGGGCATTTTTCTTACTCTCTTTGGGGTACGCGTAGAGGCAGGACAAATTCCTTGAGATTCCGTCCATCACTTGGATTTAGCTTTCCTTTTCGTTCGAGGAAAGGGGCTGTCGCGTTTGGCTTACGCGTGGCTGTATCACCTCCCCCGGCTTTCTACCGTAATGTGTCTCTTTGAGGCAAATTTTGTATGGAAATCGCGTTGAAGCGATTATTCAAAAACGCGACATCCCAACTGCGCCAGTAGGAGCGTACATTGTGTACACAAAATACAAAACTAGCCCAGATTTTTCTGGAGCTTGCCAAAACAATGCAACAGCCAAATGGCAATGGTTAATTTAAGTTGCAGCTGTATGTAATATAAACGAGAGCACGCACGAGCAAAAAGTTGTCTACGTACCGTCCCGCAGCGTAGCCCGCAATGTTTGCCGAAAGTTTCGGCCGAATAATTCACGGGCGGCGCGAGGCATCTTTGGAACAAAACCCATCGGACAGATGCCGCATGTGCGCGCATTGCAGCGAACGTGCCGGAGAGGACTCGCGCCTTTCATCCCTCGGGGGAGACCCGCGTCGCTTCGAGGGGGCCCTTGGGGTTTCGCAGTTTTTTAACGTATACGACGCGTAAGGGGGTTACGATGACGTGCGGTTCCAGAGTGATTGCAGGTTTACCGACCAACTTACGATTCTATGTACTCGTACATGGCCTTTGAGAAAAAAAAAAAAAAAAAAAAAAAAAAAAAAAAAGTACATAAGAAAAGGTGGTTCGGGAGTCACGAGTTAAAAATAGCTGAAGAAGAAAAAAAAGAGTATTAGAGGGTGAGAGGGAAAGGGGTGAGGGCTCTCGTAACTTTGATTATGCACAATAACGATTAGACCTGCATGTGTGCCTCTTTCTTGAGCCCCGGTCCTCGCTGGCCCTGAAACAAATTCAAAAGATGTACCCCCCGCCCTCGCTTCGACGCGCGATTTTTCATACAACTCTTTTCACCAGCCCCACACACGCGAGAGAGAGAGAGAGAGAGAGAACTGGGTACCATTGGACTCGTAGTCGTGTTGAATTTGCAATGAAAACGCCCGAGACCTTGACGTGCGAGTGTAATAGCGGTAACAGGTGTCGAGTACAATGTAAGACTCGAACAGTTAGATTTGGCCGATAATCGAGAGTTGGGCTTAATTATTCATCGCCGCGATGTTGGACTCCACTTTCCGTTTCACGTGCTCTCGCGTAACCACGAGATTTCCAATTTTAAACTTTCGCCGAATTTTTTTTTTCATTTCGCGTCAAAGAACCCTTTTTTCACTCGAATTAGATCACAACACCAAAGTATTGAATATATTTTTGTCGCGTGCAAAGTAAAATACCGTGAGAAAGTATTTTTTTTTTTTTAATATTTAAACTATATTGCTCTTTGCCGTTACAAGCTGACGGTCGCACGTGTGGAAATCTAATATATATCGCACGTGCCCAACGATTGATCCCCCTACGGTGCACCTTACCCTACCATCCCCCAATTTCTTTTTTCCACCACAAGCAAATTGGTATCGAGAAAACTGTTGAGATTCGTTTTTCCAGGAACAATCTGCATCGTGTGTGCACCGCTCGAGTTTTCCAAGTGCCTCGCACGGAGTTTCCCCCCCTTTCCAAGTATTGCAATAATGTAAGAAAATAGGGGGGGGGGGAGAAAAGCTCCGTGCAAGCGTCGAGGGCGTCTCTGGAAAGGCAAGCGATTTATTGCCACTGCCGCGCTCTCGGTTACTCCGCTCGCTTACCTTGTTTTTTTTTTTTTTTCCCACCACCCTTACGTAGGTACATATATATTCACGTTCAAAGTTAACTCAAACATCACCCGTACGCTTGATGTACCTACAAGCGATCGAAAATTCAATTTACAATAGAAAAACAAGGTAGGGGGGGGGACTCGAAAGTATACAGCGAGCTGCCAAACGTTGCGCAATAAAAACCCAGGGTGGTGATACACTCGAGTCCGGTGTCTCGGGAATCTGTGGAAAGAGGTATAGGTGTGTATCTCTAGGCACTGTTATCCGTGACGTCTGACCCGTTTTCGTTACACGAGAGAAAAGTCAGTCACCCACACATATGCACTGGTATAGCTTGCATCAGTGGATACTATGTAGCAGTTACAAAGGGAGCGAGAGAGAGAGAGAGAGATGGAGAAGCTGCCCGAAGCTCCCAGTGCTGCGCATACACACCTACACGTGCACAGGCGTCGCGGGCAAACTCCCGTGACGTCACTCGCGGTGGTTCCTCTTTCTCTGCTTGGTCAATATACATACGTGACTGTACGTGCAGTGCCCTGCACCGCCGAATCGATGCCCACCCGAGTCCTCCTCCTCCAAGGATTAAAGCTCTCTTATGTTTCCCGCTCTGGTACATAAAAAAGGTAGACAAAAAGCCTCTCTCCGACGAGAGCTTGTAAAATACACCGGCGGATCTTCTCGGTATGGAATGGCTTTTTCATCATGATGATATTCCGTTCCCTTGGATTTACGAGGTCATCAATCATCGTGGGGAGAGAAAATTAATTTTGAACAAACTTTTCGCCAATAAATAGTTTTTTTTTTTCTTTTTCTTGTTTTTTTTTTATTAATAGCCCTTTCCGCATGTACAGCAAGTTTTGAGAAAGTATAGCTTCGCCAAATGAACCAGCGCAGAGAGAGAAATTGTTATCATTTTGCATTATTTACCGTTTGTCGGGCAGAAAAAATAAAATAAAATAAAATAAAGCTGTGAGGGTGTCACGATAACCTTTTTTTCTCCCTGAAATCGTCGCGCGTAATTTACGTGGATGCACAAGCAAGGCCCCACCGATCTATCCCCCTTTAAGACGTTCAGTGTCAACCACGAGCTGGCCAAATGATCCACGGAGGAAAAATATGTCGTAGCCGTCGTGTTGTTGTATATATGTATGCTTGTGGCAGCAGCGGATCGGCCTTGAGATTCACGAGCAGAGAGAGAGAGGAAGTTACTGTGCGCGCTGCAAGTAGAGCCACAGCTGGTGGGGCGAGAGAGAAAAAAAACAAACAAAAAAACCAACGGAGCCAGTGGGTTGTGAAGATTGAAAAGAGAACTCGGGGGAGGGGAAGAGATGCGACTCGAAAGGCGCGGGGTTTGGGTGAAAATACTCCGAAAAGGGCACCAATAGCGGGGGAGGGCGATGATGATGGTGCGATGGTGACGATTACAATGATGATGAAAGTAGCGACCTAAAGAAGATCGGCTGGGGTGACGTAATAGACCGAGGACTGAGGGGGATGATAAATGGAAGCTGGAGACGAAGACAATCGTGATCGACGGGGCTGATATTGCGATCGTAACGAGGAAAAATCATCGCACCTGCACCGAAAGAATTGCATTAGATACCCGGC